CTTCCTCTTCTTGGCGCTCAGCGTCGAAATGCCGGCCAACTTTTACGATATTCGTTTTTAGGGCGACATAGGGTTTATGCCGCCCCCCCCCCCCCCCAACATTGTTTTAAAGGGACCCCGGAACTCACACGGGAAGTATGGATGTATAATGCCTTCGCGTGCCCTCTTCTTTTCACACCAAGTTTCTGTAGGTGTAGCGCCTGTGTTGGTAGTCTTTAGGGCCGCATTCCAAAGAGATGACCGAACAAGTTGCTCTGAATCTCAATTAATTTGGCGCAAGGTGTCGTTCCCACGCCTTTTTCCTGATAGTGTTGTTTCTCACTCCGTTTCGGGTGGTTAGGCTGACGGTTTTCCTCGGGCATCTCGTCTCACAGGTGAGAGAGTAAAACTTGGCGACGCACGTTTACGCAGCCTCAAGGCCCAAGACAAGGAGACAGTATACCGACGTTTTATTGGAATAATCCCTAGAAATACCTTAGTGCTGCACTAGACCCATAGTAGTAGTAGTAGTAGTAGTAGTAGTAGTAGTAGTAGTAGTAGTAGTAGTAGTAGTAGTAGACCCATATAGTAGTAGTAGTAGTAGCATAAGTAGACTCATATAGTAGTAGTAGTAGTAGTAGTAGTAGTAGTAGTAGTAGTAGCATAAGTAGACCCATATAGTAGTAGTAGTAGCAGCAGCATAAGTAGACCCATATAGTAGTAGTAGTAGTAGTAGTAGCAGTAGTAGACCCATATAGTAGTATTAGTAGTAGCAGTGGTAGACCCATATAGTAGTAGCAATGGCAGCAGCAGTAGTAGACCCATATAGTAGTAGTAGTAGGAGCAGTAGTAGACCCACATAGTTGTAGTAGTAGCAGCAGCAGTAGTAGACCCATATAGTAGTAGTAGTAGTAGTAGTAGTTGTAGACCCATATAGTAGTAGTAGTAGTAGTAGTAGTAGCAGCAGTAGTAGACCCATATAGTAGTAGTAGTAGCAGCAGCAGCAGTAGTAGACCCATATAGTAGTAGTAGTAGTAGTAGTAGTAGTAGCAGCAGCAGTTGTAGACCCATACAGTAGTAGTAGTAGTAGTAGCAGCAGCAGTAGTAGACCCATATAGTAGTAGTAGCAGCAGCAGTAGTAGACCCATATAGTAGTAGTAGTAGTAGTAGCAGCAGCAGTAGTAGACCCATATAGTAGCAGTAGTAGTAGTAGCAGCAGTTGTAGACCCATACAGTAGTAGTAGTAGTAGTAGCAGCAGCAGTAGTAGACCCATATAGTAGTAGTAGCAGCAGCAGTAGTAGACCCATATAGTAGTAGTAGTAGCAGCAGCAGTAGTAGACCCATATAGTAGTAGTAGTAGCAGCAGCAGTAGTAGACCCATATAGTAGCAGTAGTAGCAGCAGTTGTAGACCCATACAGTAGTAGTAGTAGTAGCAGCAGTAGTAGACCCATATAGTAGTAGTAGTAGTAGTAGCAGCAGCAGTAGTAGACCCATATAGTAGCAGTAGTAGTAGTAGCAGCAGTTGTAGACCCATACAGTAGTAGTAGTAGTAGTAGTAGTAGCAGCAGCAGTAGTAGACCCATATAGTAGTAGTAGTAGCAGCAGTAGTAGACCCATATAGTAGTAGTAGTAGCAGCAGCAGTAGTAGACCCATATAGTAGTAGTAGTAGCAGCAGCAGTAGTAGACCCATATAGTAGCAGTAGTAGCAGCAGTTGTAGACCCATACAGTAGTAGTAGTAGTAGCAGCAGTAGTAGACCCATATAGTAGTAGTAGTAGTAGTAGCAGCAGCAGTAGTAGACCCATATAGTAGCAGTAGTAGTAGTAGCAGCAGTTGTAGACCCATACAGTAGTAGTAGTAGTAGTAGTAGTAGCAGCAGCAGTAGTAGACCCATATAGTAGTAGTAGTAGCAGCAGTAGTAGACCCATATAGTAGTAGTAGTAGCAGCAGCAGTAGTAGACCCATATAGTAGTAGTAGTAGCAGCAGCAGTAGTAGACCCATATAGTAGCAGTAGTAGCAGCAGTTGTAGACCCATACAGTAGTAGTAGTAGTAGTAGTAGTAGCAGCAGTAGTAGACCCATATAGTAGTAGTAGTAGTAGTAGCAGCAGCAGTAGTAGACCCATATAGTAGCAGTAGTAGTAGTAGCAGCAGTTGTAGACCCATACAGTAGTAGTAGTAGTAGTAGTAGCAGCAGCAGTAGTAGACCCATATAGTAGTAGTAGCAGCAGCAGTAGTAGACCCATATAGTAGTAGTAGTAGCAGCAGCAGTAGTAGACCCATATAGTAGTAGTAGCAGCAGCAGTAGTAGACCCATATAGTAGCAGTAGTAGTAGCAGCAGCAGTAGTAGACCCATATAGTAGTAGTAGTAGCAGCAGCAGTAGTAGACCCATATAGTAGCAGTAGTAGTAGTAGCAGCAGTTGTAGACCCATATAGTAGTAGTAGTAGTAGTAGTAGCAGCAGTAGTAGACCCATATAGTAGTAGTAGTAGCAGCAGTAGTAGACCCATATAGTAGTAGTAGTAGCAGCAGTAGTAGCAGCAGTAGTAGACCCATATAGTAGTAGTAGTAGTAGTAGTAGTAGCAGCAGCAGTAGTAGACCCATATAGTAGTAGTAGTAGTAGTAGTAGTAGCAGCAGCAGTAGTAGACCCATATAGTAGTAGTAGTAGTAGTAGTAGTAGTAGTAGTAGTAGTAGTAGTAGTAGTAGCAGCAGCAGCAGTAGGCCCACATAGTAGTATTAGTAGCAGTAGTAGATCCATATAGTAGTAGTAGTAGCAGCAGTAGTAGCAGCAGTAGTAGACCCATATAGTAGTAGTAGTAGTAGTAGTAGTAGCAGCAGCAGTAGTAGACCCATATAGTAGTAGTAGTAGTAGTAGCAGCAGCAGTAGTAGACCCATATAGTAGTAGTAGTAGTAGTAGTAGTAGTAGTAGTAGTAGTAGTAGTAGTAGTAGTAGTAGTAGTAGTAGTAGTAGTAGCAGCAGCAGCAGTAGGCCCACATAGTAGTATTAGTAGCAGTAGTAGACCCATATAGTAGTAGTAGTAGCAGCAGTAGTAGACCCATATAGTAGTAGCAATGGCAGCAGCAGCAGACCGATATAGTAGTAGCATTAACAGCAGTAGACTGTTATATTTGTAGTAATATCACCAGCAGCAGTAGTAGTAGTAGCAACAGCAGGAGTAGTAGTAGTAGCAGCAACGCTTTGTGTGGATTTCGAAGATAATATTGACAGCCGACCAGACCGTTCAGTTGCAATAGCAAAACTACTGAACGTTATATTGCCGAAACAAATCACAATCACCCCCAACAGAATATTGCTGGCGTTAGTTCTAAGATACTGTAAATGTGAAGGATAGGCAAATTTTATTTTTTAAGTGGTTATAATGTTACACACTACTTTGCCTCACAGAATCGGTGATACATACAGAGCAAAAAAGTATGAACTAATTATATATTATGCTGTGGTAGCACATCTCATGTGGAGGACAGGAGGAAGGGAGGAAAGAGGACTAGAGAGAGAGAGAGAGAGAGAGAGAGAGAGAGAGAGAGAGAGAGAGAGAGAGAGAGAGAGAGAGAGAGAGAGAGAGAGAGAGAGAGAGAATATGTTTGTATTCCCCGTGTGGGTTCCGGGCCCTTTTATAGGGGGAAAAAGAATAGACCCACTGCCTACCCAAAGGCATGTAGTAAGAGTCGACAAATTGGGAGCTTCCTTCGAAGTCGGAGTGCATCTGTCTGAGAGGCAAGGAACCAACAGTCTGCATACAAATTAGGCAGATCTGTCAAACGGATGCCCATGCAACACTCAGGTTCTGGAATAAGAGGACTGCAGTCCAGAAGTGGATGAACAACCAGAACTTTCCGCCGGAGAAAAGTTCGGTGAAAGCAAAGAAGAAGAAGAAGATATGTTTGTATGACCAGTGGTGTCCATGAGCTGTATATAGTATACTGTGGTAGAGATTAAACAACTCTCCAGTATAACAGTAAACAATAATATACATATATTCTTTTGAAAAAGCAATGGAAGACGAAGATTACACTGTCTGGAAAAAATAATAAACAGTGCGCTTCTGGGAAACTGTAAATTCTACATACATACAAAAGTGGAGGTGAGATTGATTGACTATAGATTTGACTTATCTAATGTGATAATGAAAAATACAACAAACTGAACGCCGCAGCAGCAAGCCGTTATGCCCTCACACCAAAAGGATATACATATAAATATTCTTTTGAAAAAGCAACGGAAGCGGCAGATTACACAAATGTATTAAATAATACACATTTAGCAGATACAACAATAAAATACAAAGCGATAACAGATTAAAGAAGAGTATGCTACTTAAGTTACAATTTTAAAAAAGTTATAATATTGTGCAAAACGGCTACACATAAATAAAGATTATAAATTACAACAAGGAAGAGAACTGACACAAACATAAGAACTAACAAGTCAACAAAAGCCTTTATCAAGGTTCAAGCATTCGAATTGTTTACTAATAAAATGTTCAATTGTTGTCTGTGCGTATATTTAGTTTCAACAAGCTTCAAATTTGCTTGCATGATCTGTTTGTTAGTCTTGGTAACAGCTCGAAGCTTTCATATACCCGCTATGTCTACTCATACTACATCAAGTACTACTGCTGCGACTATTTGTACGTTTGCTACTTACTACTACTACTTTTGCAACTACTGCTACGATTTAACCAAATATTTCTAACAGAATGACATCTGTACCCTCTTGTACAGCACATATTTTTCTTAATTTTGGTTTATTTTTTTTCTATATCTGTTTACAGCAGCAGCAATGTGATATGTGAGTCTTTGTTCATTGGTTAATATACATTTCGGGTCTTTTTCCTACTCCAAAATATATATCTTAACTTTACCGTATTCATTTACACCAATTTCATTTCTATGGAACACACAATCTTATGTTTCAAAAATGTAAACTAACAGGAAAAGGGGGGGGGGGGGCAGCATAATTAACACTAGAAACAAAAATAACGAAAATCACCTACCTTCAATTATCGCCAGGCAATATCCTAACACAAACAGCAACAGAAATGGTGACGATTCCATGAAATTACTCCCGATCATAGTCAGGGACAGCGTTGATTTACGAACATCAAATGTACTCAACAATAATTTTCTGAAGATCTTGAACAAGATTTAATACTCCATTAAGGCCACTTGCACACTGCTGAAGAGGGTGCTCAAAAAGTACAAGCACTATACGGTAAACATCGCAGACACGCGTTTCCACGACTCTTCTTCCTACACGAATAGTTCTCACTAGTCGCAGCAGCTGAAAGGAAAACACTAGAGGGCTTGAATTCGCTTTGTTTAGTGTTGAAGCACAGAGACCAGACACGGGCGAGCTCTCGCCGTGTGAAAGCCGGATCGTTGGTACGCTTCGTCTGCGCCCAGTAAAACCTCCACACAACTTGACTGACTGAGAAGGTGAGACAGGTATCTCCTTCGCGCGGGGGCTTGTAACAGATGGATGTCTAGACTAGTCGACAGAAGTCTCTTAACTCGTGGTTGCTGTCCAGTCATCTGTTGACATTAACTGTTATCTAGTTTTCATTTTTCATCCAAAGTTAAAAAAAAAAAAGATGTCCTGATCAATTCCTCAACCAAAGCAAATGTTATGTTTGTCCGCCTGTTTTTGTCTATGCATCATATTTTCATTGTGATCCTTTCAACAGTCATTTAATTCACTGGGCGGTCCGCTGGGCGGAGCGTGGTAGGTAATTTAATTTTTTTTTCTTCTCTAAAATCCCGCTTTCCGTTAGTGGAGGCGCCGTAGTGTCGGCTGGCCGTGCCCGGCATAAAGCGACGTCAAACTAAAAGCCTTGTTGATGTTTCTCCGTTGTTGATATACAGATCTCGGGGCGATTAGTCGGATTAGTGGGTTCCGCGCTGTTTGATGGCTGCTTCCTAAAGGCAAGGCTTAACCAATCATCTACCTCACTTCCGCCTCTCTGCTTCTTCACCCTTCTGTTTCATCCTGTCCGTGCTGCTACTTAAAAGCCCCCCCCCCCCCCCCCCCCCCCCCCCCCCCCCCCCCCACAAAAAAAAATTAACAAACAAAAAATTCGTAGTATTATTGTTCCTGATAGAGATCTCTTCATCGCACATGAGACATGACCATAAGTGCTCCGATCTCCTCCTGAGTATGTCTCCAAGTGTTTTTAGTCGAACTTTCTATTCCTTTCTGGTTGACGTAACGACAGGTAGCTCAGGTATGGTTTTCCTGTCTCGAGGCTCCAAATGGTACACCCAGGGTATGCAGTCTGTTCATCGCAATATTGATCACAAGTCAACAGGGCAAATCACAGATACCCCTTTCAACCTTCAAAGAAGTTATTATTGGAGACACCTGTAACGGCATCCCCTACTGTGTTAGATATTAGTGAACACTTATAACAGTTTCACAATTCGCGGGTACTAGGGCTTTCGGTTTGTTGAAAAATAGAAAAACGTACTGTCCTTACTGTCTGCAACCATGACCAGATTGGAAAAACAAGATGTTAAGAGGGATGTGGCCAGATAACAGTGCGGCTATCTTCCGAATAACGGTCCCAAATTATCAAAGTAGAAAATATATCCCAACAGGGCCTCAGTCACGTGTCGGTTGCGCACTTCCGGCGACATAAATTGTGCACTTCTGGTGACTTCCGCCACCGCCGAGTGTATTCCGCACGCCGTTCACGCGGCGTGGATTGTGGCTAAACTAGATGGCTAGAACTCACGAGCAGCAGTTACCGCATTTTCTGCAGCAGCATTTATTTAATTTGCTCGTGAGTCCCAGCCTTCTAGTTTAGCCCCAATCCACGCCGCGTGAACGGCGTGTGGGATACACTCGGCGGTGGCGGTATAGTCCCCGGAAGTTCGCAATTTGGCAGTGGCGGTATAGTCCCCGAAAGTGCGCAATTGACACGTGACTGGGGCCCTGTTATGGTATATTTTCTGCCTAGATATTTTGGGACCGTCATTCGGAAGATAGCCCAACAGTGCCATACAGGAAGCAAAAAAGACTAAAAAAATCAACACAGAACTGGTGTCATGAGCCGCTACACGCTGCAGGATTTACTAAGGAGGGGATCCGAGCACTTATGGACTGAATGGTCAATGTGCAGTGAGGATATTTTGTCGACTAACTAACGAACTAACTAACATATTAAAAATAGCTCTTTTGGTTTTCGGACGGTGGTGCCCTAAAAGAGTACCCCGCGCTTATTGTTCTCAAAGACGTGGCGAGGGATTTCGGTCACGGGCGTGAGGGAAAGTTAAGGTGGTTGTGATGTGTATAGGTTTAGGTTTAGAGAACGGAACAACATCATGGCACAAGGGTAGTAACATATAAGTGCTCCGTTCTACTTCTGAATCAAGCCTGAGTTGGAAGGATCTCACCGCAGTGCACGTACTCCGTAGCATCAGCGAGGATCCTGAAATACGCTGGGTAGATTTTTAACTCCAAATCTTGCCCGGGCAGCATGCAAGGCTACTCGTTTTCGAATTCCAATTGCCAAGGAATTTTTTACGTTGGCAACAATACACATGAGCATACTACCCAGAGTTCAGGAAAATTTACTAGAAATCCAAGTGAAAACATTCTAGCCTTTACCAGGCTTGAACCCGCGACCTCCGGCGGACGCCATGCCTCGAGACCACGCCGTACCCCAGACAGGGCTGGTTTTACGAATCCTCATGCAAGACCCCCAGGTGGCCCCCCAGAAGGCCAGTGTGTCCAGTCTGGCTCTTAACAGCTCCCCCCTCCCTTTTTGCACAGAACCCCCCCCCCCCCCATTTTTTTTTTCCACAACCACCGATTTCCCCCCCCCCCTTTCCACACCCGCCGACTCCCCCCCCCCCCCACCCTTTCCAGTGCATGAGTGAAAGTCTATCAAAACTCATTTGGAACCTGAAGGCAACCAGTTAGCCAAGTATACTACCAAATCACAACTATGGGTTAAAACGTCATGGGAATGAACTATTGAACTGCTGAGACTCACCACTAGACCAAGAAGATATTTGCTCGCAGCTTAGATACGCGAAATCTCATTCGGGTGGTTTCTCGTGGTACAGTTCTGTCTCCGTACATCATTTGACGACCCTCAAAGTCGTGGTCACCGCGTTGAGGTTTACCCCGACAACATGCCACCTTCAGTCATCTGTTTAATTTCAAAAGTCCATCAAACACATGCCCTTTGTCATTACAGCAAAGTCCTAAATATTCGACCATCGAAAGTCCTACTACTTGTCAGAAAGCTTCCAATGTCCATTACCACTGGTCTCACTCGCCGAGTGTCGGGATCGAATAGGGAAAGTCAAATCTGAGCATGATTCTCCATACTATGATGCAAATGGTCCACGTGAAAGAACGTTAAAAGTGTCTAACGTGCCGAAGAAGAAAATACCTGTGTAGTCATCGGAATCCTGGATCTGCGTGGCACTTCTTGTTGATCTCCGAAGGGCGCAGCCCGTGACGAACGGGAAGCTCAACAGACGGAGGGGACGGTGAGCACTCATATGTAGGACTTGACGATTCCTTGGGTGAGCCTAGGACCAGAATATTATATGTCCGCTCTGCGTTTATTGAAGCCTTTTTGGATGATAAGGAATGCCCTCTCTTGAGTGCCGAAGAGTCAGCACGTGATTGCCCTAGACGGGTTCTCTATGGGGAACACCTGTACAAAAGAGGAGAAAGGTGGCACCACCCAAGTCATGTCGACCATATATACAATCTTTCCTTCATCGTATTCATCTGTTGAATTTGGATATTCACAGGAATCATGCCTAAACAAATCCAAGAAATCAAGGACTTTCTGCATACAGCCAGAAGGAAGGAAGCTAAATCTGTCAAGATCAAGAAGAACAAAGACAAAGTCAAATTCAAGGTGCAATGCAGCAGATACCTCTACACCCTGGTCATCCAGGACCGAGAGAAGGCAGAGAAGCTGAGACAGTCATTGCCACCAGGTCTGGCAGTCAAAGAGCTTAAGTGAAATTATTAAAAGAAGAAATCATTTGAAAAAAAAAAAAAAAAATATCGCCCAGATGTTTTAAAATTGTTTGAACAAATACAGTTTTTTCCGCTGCCTGTAGGTCTCACTAGCAAAGAGGTAAAGGGGTATCTCCAGCAAGGGTCCACAACCAATAATGGTAGTGACTGTCTCTAAAGCTAACGTCATCGGATTAAAGAGACAAAATTGTCAGCGACTTTCTCTATTCTAAATTTAATTTGGGTAATCTAGCTTGCAGGCCGACAACAGACAAAACTACCATATTACACACTTAAACCAGACACCGGCAAAGCACACACAAAATCTTAAATGAACAAAAATCAAGTCAAACTATGAAGTTGGCCTCAAAAGGGATGAGAGTCCCTGATCCAAAATGCCTGTCGCCTAGCTTTTACATTCACTAGGGGGACCACGCCCTTCTCCTGAATGTCCTTGGATACAAACCCACTTCACTTTCGTACAGCGCTTGTCAGGAAGTTGTCCATACCACGCGAGATTCTGAGGCGCACTGGGGAAGGCCCTAGTATGCATAGGCAGTGTTAACGCTGCAACCAATGCATAATAACTGTAGCTAACTGCCTAACAGGTTCTATGCAAACATTTTTTACCCATTACTGGTGGATAACACATTCACAGCTAACGGTCATCGACCCACAAAAGTCCACTCTCATCCTTTCGTCTATCCAGAGCTGGCTCTATCCAGCATTATCGTTCACCTCCCTCTCTCAGCATTCCTTGTGGTTCTACCGCACTTTGAATTGAATTAAATCGTCACGACTTTATCCTAGATGGTTGTGATAGTCTAACATTGAGGTCGTTTCTGGGTACACACGGGTAAGAAACATAAACATCCCTTCTAGCATAGATGTAGGCTGAACTGGCACCTGACAATAACACTATTTAAAAACTAATAATTATTATCTAATATGAAAGGTAACAGCTTACTAATAAGTCGAGACGACTGGAAGGATGATGATGGATCCTTATCCATTTATATTTACTGGATAACATATATCCTCCTGCCCTTAAATCACCCCTTCTACTCTTTATTCTACTATATAAGACTAG